CTGTTAAACCATCTGCAGAAGACTCAACTCCGTTGCACTGTCTTGTTGTTTTGAAGTGATAGCTGAAGCACATAGAGTAAATCCCTAGCAACAATACACATCCAACGATGTGAATAAAGTAATTTCTTAGCTTCTAAAAAAACCTCTGCCTCTGAAAATGTCTCTAAACTGATGTTGATATTTTCATCTTCTGTACGACTACTTGACCAACTTGTACTTGACAAATCATTATGACTAGAAGTTGATGAACAATAGTCGTGGTCAACAGAAATAAGAGAGTTCTGAAAGAGGGAAAAATCAGTTTTAAATTATAAACAAATGTTCTACTGATTTCTGCATCAAGTATCAAGTTATAAGTAGGTACTAACCTGCTCGTCGGTTGTGATGTTTTCATAGGAAACATGGACGCCGGAGTCCTCTGAGGAACATTGCTGTAAAGAAATAACATTGAGCGATTAAACCCAAGATATCCGTTTTTTTTTTTTACGATAATTCACCGTGCCCCTAAACTTACCTCCGCCGAGACACGTGCAGACTTCTTACTTAAAGCTTTCCCAGTCCTCCGTGGAGCGGATAGCCGTCTACGTGTTCTACACTTCGGCATTCTGCGGACAATAATTCGGATTTGTCAGCACATTTAAGAGTCATAATCAGCCTTCCGAATATGTTGGACATAGTTAAAATCCAAACCACCACACCTTCCTCTCACTCAACCACAGTCCACCGCAAATAAATACAAACACGGGCCCTAGGCCTCCACAGCTACGCCCAACTCCAAACACACCTGCGGGTGGCCGGCACAGCCGGCAGGGGCGCTGGGATCGCGCGCGCGCGCTGGGCTGCGCGGGTAGTGGTCCTCCTGTGAGAGGTACGCAGAGCAGTCGAGCGGCAGCCAATCACAGCGCTTTGGTGTTCCACGGGCGCGGCCATACCACAAAATCACCCTGTGCGAGGCTAGGAACGGCCATATAACCTCCCGCGCTCTACCTCGAGTTTTCAGATATTAATTTCTTTCTAAATTCTCTACGCACCGCCGCGAGACATGACTCATTTTAAATGTTAGACTTGCAGGAGCTTATAAAGTATAAAACTCGCCCGCTCTAAGTCAAAATCTGTTGATAGCAACGATTACCATGCGCGGAGCAGGCGCGCGCTTTCTGCTAGTCCTAGTCTCGCACAGGGTGTCTCCAGCCCCATGGAACACCAGTCGCCAGCTCTGCGTACCTCTCACAGGAGGGCCACTGTGCGCGGGGAGGGAGCGCAGTGGCGTCGGCGCGGCTAGGCACGGCGCGGCCGGCCGCCGGCCCCGCGCTCTAACGCACCCTCCGCCGCCGCGGCCCCTGGATCGCGTTGGGGCCCCTCGCGCTCGGCCAATTTTCATCGCACGGAAAAGAGGAAAGTAACTACAGATTCTGTGAACCTTCGTGGACACGGCGAGCCAAACCCCATGACTGTCCGACCATTACTGCGGCCGTGAACTGCTACACAACCTTGCGCGGCGGGGTCCAGGCGCTCTAAAGCTTCTTCTCCAGGGCACCCTTCTCTCATGGCTGCAGTTTACTTCCAATTTACTTCACGGCTGTACCTTACCTTACCAGGATTTGAACCTCGAACTAGTTTTTAATGATTTTATTAAAACTCTTTTTGTCCTTCCTTTTAAATTTCAAGTGTAGGGATTTTCAACTCCGGCTTTTTTCCTCAAATTTTAAAAACAGTGGCCACTCGCATAGCCGCGCCTCTCATAGCTGCGCTAAGCTCTACTACCCTGACACCACTGCTCACCGCCATACACTACTGGCGTGGATTCTGATTGTTCTCTGATAACTGTTCAACAGCTTTGAAGCTAAACAACACATACAGCACTGTGGCTTCATCCTTCGGCCGGCCATTTAGCGGAGATGGGGGTCCCTCTCGCAATCTTTAAGTACCTAGGGGGGTTGTGGGCGACCGCGCCTCGTATGGCAGATTTCACGTTCAGATGACGGAGACGGAGCGAGAGACCCGTCTGAGGCTAGAACCTCATTTCCTGTCAGGCAACTTACGAATTCCGTGATTTCGTCCACTTTCATTTCTTCCTCAACAAGATTGAACTGTAAAAAATTGCGTCAGAGTGGAACATTATTCAAAATTCAGTTATTTAAGGACTAGAAGATATTTTAATAGGGGAGTTGCTGTTTCTTTACAATATTCCATGAATACTACTGGGGGTATACCTATGTCGATAGGTTTGAATTTTCTTTAACCCATCAAAATTTCAACAAGTACCCATACTACCAATTTGCATGGACAGGGCAGTATCATTTTCGTCCAGTGTTAGTGTGATGCATAGTGCATTCTTTTAGAATATCTCTTTCTTTGCCTTCTTTATATAGGATATATCTCATATAGCTCAGGGTACCATATCCCTAGGAGAACGCCTCTGTCATTATGACATCAAATTAGTGTCATTTTTTGATCTCCAAAGTAAAAAGTCTAGTCCTCTGAAGTAGGGACTTCGTCAAAGAGACCTCCCAAGACTCTATTTAGACCCCGTTCTGACTTTCTGTTCTCACTGCGATGGTGTTTTTGGTAGTGACATTAATGAAACAAGTAAATGCAAATTATCAGGCCCATAATTTACTTGCTTCTTCAAATTGCATAAAACATACATAGAAAATGAAACGATTTCACACAATGTTGTTCACAATTAACAAATAAATTAGGTAACAAACAAAACTAAAACTTCTTCCCATTTAAAAGAAACAGAG